CGAATGGCCTCCTCCGTGTGTCCATTCAAAATTGCCTCACGGATCTTCGCTCTGCAGTCAATGCAGTGTAATGGCATCTGAGCTGCAGTAGCAGAAAACAAAGCAACAGTAACAACGAAATCGAAAACTAGCACAGATCCTTATGTGGGCCGAAGAATTCGATGCGTGTGCTTAGGGAACATCTGCTACACAAAATATTACTTCTGAGGGGTAGCTAGTTAACCAAGCCTGTTTTGTTAAACAATATCCACAAAAAAAAATACGGCACAACAATGTAGCAGCCGGATGCTAAATTCCAAGACGGCTACAAACGGCAGCGTCTGGTACGTCTCCACTTCAGTCAACGGGAACACATATGCTCAGCTGTGTAACACGGTTCCAGCTTACGGTCTACTCGCGCTTCCTTGATGAACTCTTCTGCTGGTCCTGCGAGGCCATTGATAGTGAGATAGTTGAGGATTAAGTGCTGCAAGTCTGACTCGAAAACCTCCGCCTCTCCCAACTTCCTCATCCACTCGCTCCTGGAGAAATGTACACACGAGCCTTCCGACAATCCCACTGTCCCACTGCGCCAACGTTTGAAATACACAGACATACTCAACGGTTTCCTCGTGGTGCTCAGACGTAAACACCCACATGGAGAAGTCTGACTGTCTGCGGAGAGAGTCGGACTCGACATCTTCATAGAAACTGCCGCCATGGGGAGTCTGGTTTCTGCCGGACATCTTGGGGATTTGGTAGAGGTGGCACAATAGTGGCTCGCAGGTGCAGGAAGTCCTCAGCAGTCAGCGTTCACAGAGCTTCGAAGACAGAATNGGCACAATAGTGGCTCGCAGGTGCAGGAAGTCCTCAGCAGTCAGCGTTCACAGAGCTTCGAAGACAGAATAAGCAGAAGCATGGGGCATGTGGTTGTCTGAGTCTCACGCAAGAGCCTAAAGGCACGCAACAGCCAGATCAGAGCTGAACGAGAACTGATGGAGGATGTTCACATGGGTAGCACTCCGCATCCGCCAGTCCTTATATGTCTGCAATCTGCCCCTTTATATTTAGCATGAAGCAAAAGGAACTCTAGAACAGGGTCATAATTCAACGTGTCTTCTTGTGGTACACACCCCAACGGGCTGTGCACCCGGTGACTCTGACCAGTGGTATACGTGAACTCTTCTACGAAATACAGCTCGCTTAAAATTGTCTCATTCAATTAAACAGCAACAAGAATATCTCTCAAGACAAGAAAAGGAAAATAAGAGCTTCAGCAGACCTGTAATGGCTACCAGACCGCAGCCGCAGCCTCCCCGTTCACGCTGCCTCTGGAGAATGGGAAGTTATGCAGCGACTAAAACTCCTAGTGATGCATAAGTTACTATTCTGCATGTGAAGCCTAATGGAGAACTTTCCATTATTACGCCATATTTATCTGGCCCTACCAACTGTTGTTGTTGCCTTCCTCTACCCGACCGTTGTTCCTCGAACGCCTGGTTTGGGGGGAGGCGAGACCTGCGTATATGCCACTATCAATGAGCTCGCACCAAAAATGAGATTTTGTAGAGCTCTAATGATGATGAATGTCAGTTTAAGGCACGAGGAAACGCATGTAGGACAACAGAGGCTGTCATGTCGCATCTGGTGCCCATAGGTACGCGCCTGAAACAATTCCAGCTGATTTGAGTAGAATGTTCGACATTGTATACGGACAAGGTGCTGCTGAACGCGACTGCACACCTAAGAANCCATGTGTTTACTTTCATCTCCGCCTAAACTGCCGCCTAACCTGCAAAAGTAGAAGGTGTATCACGCTGACGCATGGGCTGCAGAAGAGGCTGCAGATGCACCGAACGAGCTGCTAGCGAAAGCGAATATTGTGAAGCTCCGGTTAACTACATACGTCTTCCTGACCCATGGCAGACAGGATGCTGTTAGCGGCTGGGCTCTTAGGTGCAGACGGATGCCCTAACCCTTTTTACAACAGGGAAATAGCGTGAGTAGCAGAAACACATTTGAAAGGCTGGTATGCAGCGGTATACGTGGCCCCAACCTCCAGCAGAAGCTACACTACTTCGCGTGCACTACTAAGATCGCTGCTTGCTATTCATTTGTTTCGTGTATCTGTCTTCCGGCCTCGCTAACAAGCGGCGGCTGACATTCATGAGCGTGACTAAGTAAAAATTAAAACAGCAAGCAGGCCGAGACAGATACGACCGCGTGTTCTACCGGACCCAGAAGGGTACATGGCTGCGCCAGGTTTGAGAGCGTCTTACACCTGGAAGGTACGGGCGAGGTTGCGGACGACACGTAAAAGCCCGCCCGTTCCACCATGAGTGTGTGCACGCCTCACTGTTCGAGCCCCACTCGGAGATACCACAGTCATCCGCTCGCACCACCAAACTATGTGCAAACACAACTTCATTTCACGCGCCCCCTTAACGACGCCGCATGCCGCCCCTACGGCCTCCCCGGCCTCGTCCCCGCCCAGCGACGAAGGCAAAGGGATTGTTGCCTGAGCCAAACACACAAGAGAATACGAAATAACTAGCATATCGCAGGCCAGTGAAGCCAGACAGCTATAAGTGAACCAACTTGACTAAGATTCCCCGCATCACACTGCAACACGCCTCACCTGCATCAGAGGCGTCGGGAACCTTCGTGGGGCCNCTAAGATTCCCCGCATCACACTGCAACACGCCTCACCTGCATCAGAGGCGTCGGGAACCTTCGTGGGGCCGAATTCCGCCAATCCAAGACCCAGCCCGTCAGCAGGTGGCTGGTGTTGCTGTACTTGCTGTGGCAGTTGCGGCTGCTGAGCATACTGCTGGTGCTGCTGGACCTGAGAAGGCTGGAAGACTGACCCCTGCACGTCCATCTGCTGCTGCAGAGGCGCGTGTTGCCCCAGTGAGGGTATCTGGGGCACAAAATGTGGCTGCTGTTGCTGTTGTTGCTGCTGTAAATCTACCGTCTGCTGCGGTGCTGCCGCAGTGCCGGTACCCGCAGCTGTCGATGACGGTACAACCCCATTCGCTCTGCGGATGCGCAACTTGGGCCGGCCCTGCACGGCGCCCACGTCCCCAAGGCCTGGAGTATTACCGACAGTTCCCTGCGGCTTTTGTCCCTCTGGCTGCTGCTGCTGTGACGGTGGATGCTGCACCTGTTGTATCTGCTTTTCCTGTGGCTGCTGTGGCTGCGGTTGCTGCTGTGGCTGCGGTTGCTGCTGTGGCTGCGGTTGCTGCTGCTGCTGCGGTTGCTGCTGCTGCAGCAGGTGCTGCGCCAGTTGCTGCTGGGGCTCAGACTGCCTCGTAGCTGCAAACAGTGGAGTACCACCCGCTGCAGTACGGGCTGCACCCGCTGCTGCCATTCCTGCCTGAAGGAGCGTATTCTCCGGCCCCTCTGTTGTTCTAGATGAAGTAGCAGCTGCAGCAGCCATTGCAGCCTGTGAGGCTTCTGCTTGTGCCTTGGCACGTGCGGCCACCTCTTCAGCTTCTGCTGCTGCCTTTGCTCGAACTGCTGCTGCCTCCGCTGCAGCGGCGGCAGCTGTTCTTTCCCGTGCCGCTGCCTCTGCCGCAGCAGCTGCTGCGGCTGCTGCTTCTGCCTCTTTCTGTTGCTGCATGCGCAGCTCACGCGTCTCCTCTGCTGTAAGTGCCGTGCCCAACACGTCTAGCAATGCGGCGTCTGCAGTAGATGCATTCGGCTGCAGCATCAGCAGCAGTCTCGCACTGCACTCTCCCCCTCTTTTTCTCTTCCTGTGGCTGCTGAAGTCTAGATCTTCCATTCGTGCATCACTGTCCATGTGCTGCTGGCTTTGCTGTCGCTGCACCTCGCCTCCATCACTGGTGCTCGTCGTTTGAATAGAAGCATTTGCAGGAATGACCGCAGTAATCTGCCCACTGGGCAAGATACACGTTGATTCGCTTCGTTCCACCGAAAAACGACGGCGCTTACTGCATTGTAAGAATCCCTCGCCGTCCTCGTTCTGCTGCTGTTGCGGATCTTGCGCCTGGGAAGAGAGTTGTTCTTGCGTCATTTGCCCCTCACGCTGCTGTTGCTCCAAACGGATTGCTGACACAGGGCTCAACCGTGGGTTTAGCTGCTGCTTTTCTCCCTCAGTTTGTACGGCGGACTCTGAAGAATGAGAAGGCCTGGGAGCTGCTACTGCTGCTGCTTCCAATGAATCAGCAGCAACACGGAAATCGGCTGCTGTTGCCGTTGCACCAGCTTCTTCAGTGTGGAACGAAACGGAGCTCACAGTAGGCGGGGCCACACGGCTGCTGGCTAAAAGAGGAGAAGAGGAAGCGGGAGGAGGGACAAGAGGCATCCTAATGTCTTCATCTGACGCTTCGCGCTGCGGTCCGTACTGCTGATGCTGCCGCCGTTGCTGCTCCTGCTGCTGCAGAAGCGGTTGTCGGTGGTGGTGCGCCCAATGAAACTGATGCTTTTGCTGCTCGTACACCAGAGGTCTACCCTGGCAGCGCCGGCTCTGCAGATGGACCCTCGGAATCCGGTGGATAAGTGGCACCCTGCCTTTGGCTGCGGCAGCCTTTGCAGCAGTTTTTTCTAGGAAGTGCAGCCCAGCAGCAGCAGCCTCTGTTGCAACCTGCGTACACGGATGCAACTGCTGGTCTTGCTGCACTTCTTGCTGCACAAGAGAGCCTCCACAATCGTCAGACATGTA